AGCCCCATCTAAGAAGCTCACCCACGCATTAAAAACACCAAGGTACAGTCTGAGATGTAGCCAAAGGGTTGGCACCATCGCTGCAGAAACCACGTCAGTCCTGGGGGGCATAGCTCAAGAAAATTACTTTACTTCGAGTTATCCCCACCATGACATCTATATGTTTTGTTACTGGCAAATCTTCTGGCATTCTATCTGACATATCTTCTGGCATTTTATCTGGCATATCTTCTGGCATTCTATCTGGCATATCTTCTGGCATTCTACCTGGCATATCTTCTGCAATATGTTCTGGCATATCTTCTGGCACTCTATCTGGCATATCTTCTGGCATATCTTCTGGCATATCTTCTGACATTCTATCTGGCATTCTATCTGACAAATCTTCTGGCATTCTATCTGGCAAACATTCTGGCACTGTATCTGGCATACCTTCTGGCATTCTATCTGACATTCTATCTGGCATACCTTCTGGCATCCCATCTGGCATATCTTCTGGCATTTTATCTGGCATATCTTCTGGCATTCTACCTGGCATATCTTCTGGCATATGTTCTGGCATATCTTCTGGCACTCTATCTGGCATATCTTCTGGCATATCTTCTGACATTCTATCTGGCAAATCTTCTGCCGTTCTATCTGGCAAACATTCTGGCACTTTATCTGGCACACCTTCTGGCATACCTTCTGGCATTCTATCTGGCATACATTCTGGCATTCTATCTGGCATACCTTCTGGCATTCTATCTGGCAAACTTTCTGGCACTTTATCTGGCATATCTTCTGGCATTCTTTCTGACATTCTATCTGCTTTTATCTGGCATATCTTCCGGCATTCTATCTGGATTATCTGGCCGTTGAGGTCCAGCGGTGCTCACTGAGCTCGGAGGGTCCCAGGTTGAGGCCCAGCGGTGCTCACTGAGCTCGGAGGGTCCCAGGTTGAGGTCCAGCGGTGCTCACTGAGCACGGAGGGTCCCAGGTTGAGGTCCAGCGGTGCTCACTGAGCTCGGACGGTCCCAGGTTGAGGTCCAGCGGTGCCCAGTGCGCTCAGACCCTTGCAATTGAGGTCTAGCAGTGCCCACTGCGTGCAGAAGTTGGCGAAGAGCTTGGCGAAGAGTTGGCAAGGCGGAAGTGAACATGGAAGTGGAGGCAGAGGTGGTGGAGGAGAAGGAGGAGGAGGAAGAGGAGGAGAAGAAGAAGGAGAAGAACAACTCTGATAAAATCTAACAACCGGTGAGGAAAAAAAATATAACTATTTTGGGACATGTCCGTTTGTCAGGCTGTTTGGAGCCAAGAAACCAGCCAAATCCACAAAGAACTTGCCACAGTGAATGTAGTCGTGCTGCTCCACCGTGAAATCGACTTTCTTCTCATCCTGCAAAAACGGATTGGTATGGGTTGAGGTTATTAATAAATTTGGAAGGGATTTGCTATCATATTTTGCAGTAAACCATTGTTGGTAGTCCTCTTCCTCTTCTGAAGAAGATGAAATTTCCCGCCACTTTCCCATGGCTTCAGAGAAAGGGATGGGCCGGGGGGCTGAACCTGAAGGAGGCTAAGGGGAGCTAGCATCATCAACAACACATGCTTCATGAGAGACCCAGATAGATTTTGCAAAGGCCTCAGTTGCAGTCGGACATCCATCAGGGCTATTGAATCTTATTGATGGTGATTGTCAGGGCTATTGAATCTTATTGATGGTGATTGTCAGGGCTATTGAATCTTATTGATGGTGATTGTCAGGGCTATTGAATCTTATTGATGGTGATTGTCAGGGCTATTGAATCTTATTGATGGTGATTGTCAGGGCTATTGAATCTTATTGATGGTGATTGTCAGGGCTATTGAATCTTATTGATGGTGATTGTCAGGGCTATTGAATCTTATTGATGGTGATTGTCAGGGCTATTGAATCTTATTGATGGTGATTGTCAGGGCTATTGAATCTTATTGATGGTGATTGTCAGGGCTATTGAATCTTATTGATGGTGATCAGGGCTATTGATGGTGATTGTCAGGGCTATTGAATCTTATTGATGGTGATTGTCAGGGCTATTGAATCTTATTGATGGTGATTGTCAGGGCTATTGAATCTTATTGATGGTGATTGTCAGGGCTATTGAATCTTATTGATGGTGATTGTCAGGGCTATTGAATCTTATTGATGGTGATTGTCAGGGCTATTGAATCTTATTGATGGTGATTGTCAGGGCTATTGAATCTTGTTGATGGTGATTGTCAGGGCTATTGAATCTTATTGATGGTGATTGTCAGGGCTATTGAATCTTATTGATGGTGATTGTCAGGGCTATTGAATCTTATTGATGGTGATTGTCAGGGCTATTGAATCTTATTGATGGTGATTGTCAGGGTTATTGAATCTATTGATGGTGGTTGTCAGGGCTATTGAATCTTATTGATGGTGATTGTCAGGGCTATTGAATCTTATTGATGGTGATTGTCAGGGCTATTGAATCTTATTGATGGTGATGTCAGGGCTATTGAATCTTATTGATGGTGATTGTCAGGGCTATTGAATCTTATTGATGGTGATTGTCAGGGCTATTGAATCTTATTGATGGTGATTGTCAGGGCTATTGAATCTTATTGATGGTGATTGTCAGGGCTATTGAATCTTATTGATGGTGATTGTCGGGGCTATTGAATCTTATTGATGGTGATTGTCAGGGCTATTGAATCTTATTGATGGTGATTGTCAGGGCTATTGAATCTTGTTGATGGTGATTGTCAGGGCTATTGAATCTTGTTGATGGTGATTGTCAGGGCTATTGAATCTTGTTGATGGTGATTGTCAGGGCTATTGAATCTTATTGATGGTGATTGTCAGGGCTATTGAATCTTATTGATGGTGATTGTCAGGGCTATTGAATCTTATTGATGGTGATTGTCAGGGTATTGAATCTTATTGATGGTGTCAGGGCTATTGAATCTAGGGCAGGGCTATTGAATCTTATTGATGGTGAATTTGTCAGGGCTTATTGACTCTTATTGATGGTGATCGTCATGGCTATTGAATCTTATTTATGGTGATTTTTCCAAGGCTATTGAATCTTATTGATGGTGATCGTCATGGCTATTGAATCTTATTGATGGTGATTGTCAGGGCTATTGAATCTTATTGATGGTGATTGTCAGGGCTATTGAATCTTATTGATGGTGATTGTCAGGGCTATTGAATTTATTGATGGTGATTGTCAGGGCTATTGAATTTTATTGATGGTGATTGTCAGGGCTATTGAATCTTATTGATGGTGATTGTCAGGGCTATTGAATCTTATTGATGGTGATTGTCAGGGCTATTGAATCTTATTGATGGTGATCGTCATGGCTATTGGATCTTATTGATGGTGATTGTCAGGGCTATTGGATCTTATTGATGGTGATTGTCAGGGCTATTGAATCTTATTGATGGTGATTGTCAGGGCTGTTGAATCTTATTGATGGTGATCTTCATGGCTGTTGAATCTTATTGATGGTGATTGTCATGGCTATTGAATCTTATTGATGGTGATTGTCAGGGCTATTGAATCTTATTGATGGTGATCGTCATGGCTATTGAATCTTATTGATGGTGATTGTCAGGGCTATTGAATCTTATTGATGGTGATCGTCAGGGCTATTGAATCTTATTGATGGTGATCGTCATGTCAGGGCTGAATCTTATTGGTGGTGATTGTCATGGCTATTGAATCTTATTGATGGTGATTGTCAGGGCTATTGAATCTTATTGATGGTGATTGTCAGGGCTATTGAATCTTATTGATGGTGATTGTCAGGGCTATTGAATCTTATTGATGGTGATTGTCAGGGCTATTGAATCTTATTGATGGTGATTGTCAGGGCTATTGAATCTTATTGATGGTGATTGTCAGGGCTATTGAATCTTATTGATGGTGATTGTCAGGGCTATTGAATCTTATTGATGGTGATTGTCAGGGCTATTGAATCTTATTGATGGTGATTGTCAGGGCTATTGAATCTTATTGATGGTGATTGTCAGGGCTATTGAATCTTATTGATGGTGATTGTCAGGGCTATTGAATCTTATTGATGGTGATTGTCAGGGCTATTGAATCTTATTGATGGTGATTGTCAGGGCTATTGAATCTTATTGATGGTGATTGTCAGGGCTATTGAATCTTATTGATGGTGATTGTCAGGGCTATTGAATCTTATTGATGGTGATTGTCAGGGCTATTGAATCTTATTGATGGTGATTGTCAGGGCTATTGAATCTTATTGATGGTGATTGTCAGGGCTATTGAATCTTATTGATGGTTGTCAGGGCTATTGTCAGGGCTATTGAATCTTATTGATGGTGATTGTCAGGGCTATTGAATCTTATTGATGGTGATTGTCAGGGCTATTGAATCTTATTGATGGTGATTGTCAGGGCTATTGAATCTTATTGATGGTGATTGTCAGGGCTATTGAATCTTATTGATGGTGATCGTCAGGGCTATTGAATCTTATTGATGGTGATTGTCAGGGCTATTGAATCTTATTGATGGTGATTGTCAGGGCTATTGAATCTTATTGATGGTGATCGTCATGGCTATTGAATCTTATTGATGGTGATTGTCAGGGCTATTGAATCTTATTGATGGTGATCGTCATGGCTATTGAATCTTATTGATGGTGATTGTCAGGGCTATTGAATCTTATTGATGGTGATCGTCATGGCTATTGAATCTTATTGATGGTGATCGTCATGGCTATTGAATCTTATTGATGGTGATTGTCAGGGCTATTGAATCTTATTGATGGTGATTGTCAGGGCCATTGAATCTTATTGATGGTGATTGTCAGGGCTATTGAATCTTATTGATGGTCATTGTCAGGGCTAATGATGGTTATTGATGGTTATTGATGGTGATTGTCAAGGTTATTGATGGTTTTTGATGGTTATTTTCTATTTATTGTTTGTTCTAGTCCATGTTTCACTTAGCGTACATCTCGTCTGCCGTTTCCATGGCCAGGACAGTTGCTGTCGGGTTTCCTGGGTCCTCGCTGGGGTTGGCGCATCCCTTTTGTGGTGGCCGCTCGGCGCGGACCCGGTGGCTTCCCCCATCGGTGGTGATTCTGGTGAAAACTCCACCAGGATCCTGATGCTTAAGACGCGCAAGGAACATATCTTTGCCGATGTTTCATGTAACCCATAGGATCCATGGTGCTGCTATATATGGTAACATGTACCACTAATGTACCCCAGTCATGTTAGCATTAATATACCAGCACCATGGATCCTAATGGGTAATTTCGTGCAATTTCATGTATATGTGTCTTCCCTCATTGAGACCTACGCGAAATCGGATTAGATAAACCCATTGATATTGGTGTCTAAACTTTTTTGTCAACCACTAGAGTCATTAGGGGAGCGGGATAAACTACCACTTCTCTGGGGGTTGGATGATTCAAACCTCCATTCGCCAGCAGCTTTGCCATGGGACAATGATGATAGGCCTCGGAATTTTAGGGTACCCAAGTGATGAAAAAAAAACGGTGGACAGACCTTTTGGACAAAACCATTTGCAGGGTTCCCATCATCAACTGCCCACTGAGTGTGCTCTCAGGTAGCCTATCCCGCCATTTTTTTCGCCTGCCTGCTGTGGTTCACTGTGTCGGACCCGCGCAAGAATCGCCATGAGGCCTGGTGGAAACCTATGGGATGGGATGGCTACATTTGGAGGTTGTTTGGAGGTGATGAAGCAGTCCAGGTCAATCTTAGATGGCTAGAAACTAATCCCTTAGTCTTTTGGTATGGGATTATCTACTAACCAGCCAAGCATGATTTTTTTGCAGGGTATCTAAGATTGGCGATGTTGATTTTATTTTTTGGGGCACTTGGAAGGAGGAGATGTTGAAGGCATGGGTGATTATTGAGCCCTAGTTTTCTTGGGGCTCGAGTCGAACGGAAGTTAGAGAGAATTTGGATTTATTTGGTGGAAAAATGTGTTTAATGGTGATGTGTTGACAATAGCATAAAAATGCATAAAATAACTAGATCTAGTTGGATTCAAGCGACGGATATGTGCTTGGAAGCAAAACAGAAACAAGATTGTTTATTCACCAAAAATAAAGGGTTTGATCTGGTTTGATCATGTTTGATGCAATTTAGGTATATAGGGATGTTGCCCCACAATTCGGCATCACCCGTCCGAATTCGAGGTATGGTAGCAGTTAAACTGCGACTAAGCAACCAGCCTGGAGTCAACAGGGGTGACGCTTTCGACCATAGAAGATGTGTCCTCTCCTGGTGGCTTCAACGAGTGTTTCATGGAGATGACCAATGGAAGATGATCATGGCCATCATATGACTTACCCTCTGGTAAATGTTTACAAAAAACGATGGAAAATCACCATTTATCATGGGTAAATCATCTATTTCTATGATCCATTTTCAATCGCTACGGTAAATTACCAGATGGTACTATGATGTTTTTGTTTTTCAGATGACGCAACATACGCAATTAGATGATCTAAAAAATTGGATGAAAAGACTCCCACATTAGTGTCATCCACCAAATACACAGATTTGTTCAACAACAAGTAGATTAGATCATGACCTAAGAGTTAACTATGACATACTCGTACAATGACATACCCAAATAAGTAGTTAAGATATTAAGTATTACTACTATAGTACTCCAGTCTATTACATACTATGTTAACATTAGTTGACTATTACCCGTTAATGAACATAAAGTATTGCTACTATAGTAACATTAGTTAACATTAGTTAGAACTATTATTAACTATTACATACCTATTAATGCACATTAAGTATTACTCCTATAGTAGTTTTTGTTGTTGACATGCCCCATGGTGCCAGGAAGGCATCGAGCTGATGAGCCCGAAAAATACCAGCGCCAGCAGCTCCACGGAGAAATACAATGCCAGCGAGGCCGATGGGGAAAAGTGGAAGAATCCGGGAGAGTTATTGGAAGATCTATTGTAGTTTGAACAATAGTCTTAAGGGAGGTAACTTTCATCAATAGATCTATTGGAAAAGAGTTATAAATCAGTTAACAACAATTTTCAACTACTTTAACTACGTATTTTACTGCAGTAGTGAAAGATGGGAATTTCAACTATAATTGATACTTGCAACAACTGCAAGAATTTGTAGTTAAGTAGTTGGAAATTGTGAGTTTGAAGGAAGCTGCAAAATTGGAAGAAAAAAACTGCAAACTACTCCACCGATCCACAAGAGTTTGTAGGTTTCCCACACAGTTGGGAGATTGGGTTCTAGAGGCGAAGAACCGACGAGTTATTAGGAGGCAACCATCAACTGGAAACAGCTGAGGTAGCCACCAAAAGCTTGGGAAAAATCCCAGAAAGATGGAGATGTGACCAGGAAAAAGATCAGGAGATGGCAAGAAAAACATCGTAAAAAAAGAGAAAAGCTGACCAGCTGAGTTGCCCCCCCAGCTCATTTTGGTTGTACTTTTGGTGAGATCATCAGATTGAATATGATTGACTGGTTAAGTTCGTCAAGTTTGAATCATTGAAACATATCCTTATATCCGCCATAATTCACTGAATAACTGAATATGTCGTACGAAGAACGGGACATGTTGAATAGCAAATGATTCCTTAAAGGATTCGGACAGGCATGGAGAGCCCCAATACCCTTATCAGTAGCTACCGTTGCACCCGTTTAGACATGGCAAATGGATCCAAATGGCTTGTAAAATGGAGCTTAATCATTCCCCACCAAAGAAACAGAGTGGAATAGATTAATCTGGGTAAATTACAACGACCTCACTGCGACCTCACTGGAAATCATGGTTAGTAAGGGGAATCATCCCCAAATGGCCTTAATTCAGGTTGGTGAATTATTATTATTTACCCAGATCAATAATTATAGAGGTTATAAAGCATGTTAAACCATCCATGATTTTGCACGAATTTCCATGATATCCCCATCATCCCCCATCTATTTCGATCGCTGCGATTTCGCCATGCCAGGATCCAGCAGGAACGCCAGCAGTCTCTGAGGCCTATGAACGAAATCCCAGTGGGGCACTTGGGGCTGGTTTGCTGGGGCGGCGCTGGCCTTCAACTGGTGAAAAAGTGGTGAACTACGCGTAAAGAAAACATATATATACAACGGAAACATAGTGAAAGTAGATAAGATAGAGATGTCAGCAAAACATGTTGGTGATGCGACCATCAATCACTTGGGTCAACGCATCCACATCTTTTGTCGTGGAGGACTAAAAGACACCTGCCACAGTCGCAAGGGTTGCTGAAAATCCCCGGGGAGCTGCATCGTACTACATTCATTGATTATATTCATTGATTATGAAACCCTTAGAAACTGGAATGCGCATCCAACATCCAACTACATCTGGTTGGTGGTTTCAAACATGAATTTTATTTTCCATTTCATATGTGGGATAATCCCAACCCCATTGACGAAGTCATATTTTTCAAGATGGGCACATTGCACCACCAACCAGATAAGTAGCTAAGTATGATAATCAATGGGATTAAACCATATTAAACCACACTAACCATATATAGGGATGGTGAAATTGCACCATACTAACCATTATTATGACTCTGTTGGTGCATTGGAGTTTTAGGTCATTCCATTGAGAAGAGCCATGGAGACAGCCTGGTGGACACCGTCGGGAAGCCCGGGTTTTTCGCGTTTCAACGGTGGTTGTTTAGCCTATGGTGGTCATTGGGTCATTGCTGGTTGGTGGTTTGGAACATGTTTTTCCATTCAGTTGGGAATGGAATAATCATCCCAACTGGCTTTCACTCCATCATTTTTCAGAGGGGTAGGGTTAAAACCACCAACCAGATTTTTTGTTGATCCATAGGTGTTAAGTCCATGATATCGTCCAAAATCCATGAACATCCTATGGATTTCCCAAGCATATCCAGCGCAACGCTGCACGGGAACTGGCCATGATTTCTCGGTGTGCTGAGATGACTGGGGATGCCATTTTTTCACCATGACTGGGGATGGTTTTTTTCGCCACGGTGATGGGGGCACTTATTCAATGGATTGGTCTAAGGGAAAACTTCCAGGAAAGCCCAAAAAGAATTGGAACATCGATGGTTTCCGGTGAAGATGTTCCCTTAAACCAATCCATTGACTTATTAGTTGCCGATTTTCAAATTTAATTCCCACCTTTATATAAGATCCTTTAAGATCCTTTAAGTAGCTTAACCCATTGCTGATTCCATCATGTCGAGTTGTCGACTCAGACGCAGCCTTCTGTGGACGGCCACGCAGTATCTGGGCGATTGCAGGAAATCTAACGGTGCGCTTTATAAATCGATATGTTAGGGTTTCCTGAATACATGACTATGATATATATCATTACTGGGATATATAAACTATAATACCATATATATATAAATATAGGTTATTAATAAACCAAGTCTGGGAGTGTTTGGTTTTTTGAAAACTATGTGATGAATTGAGATTATATGTGGATACTTGTGTGGATATGATCTGGGATCTACCAGCAAACATGGATTTTCTAGATAGATCACATTGTGGATTTCCTAAGAATGGAGTTTTTCGAGAAATCCCTAAGATTCAATGGTGCAACTTGATCATCTTTTGTCCCTTGCAACAGAGATTCTTTTCAAGGCCTTATCGTTGAGGTGCACGGGGGCACGGGGGTTTTCCCTCAAATCAGCAGATGGTAAGGGATGGCTGGCAAAGTGACTCAACGCTACCGATCTCGATGAAAATCTCAGGCCATCACAGATTGCAAGCGTTTTGGCTTGGTCTGGAGAGGCAAGGGGATGGTGGTGCATTCGGCGCGATTGGGATGGAGAAAATGTTGGGGAAAGGGAAGGGGCGAACATGGGGTAAACACAAATGGCTGGGGTGTTGACCCCTTCACTGTTCGTAGCCATATTGGCCCTCAGCTTTGGCGCTGCGCGATGAAGATTTTCTGTCAGAAGATCAATGGAGAAGTCTTGGAGTTGGAAGTCGCTACAGAGAGCAGCATCTATGACGTGAAGGTGTCAGCGATGCCAATGGCTGAGTGATTGGTCTTTGGATGTCATTCGGGGCATATCAGAAAATATGGTGCCGCAATGCCCATCAAACCACATCTTGGTTAACGATATCCCCTATCACATGCCTTTCAAAAACCAGCCCTTTCGTTGATGATACATTTTTTGATCAATGCCCGACTTTCTGCTTGGAAATCTTGAATTTCTACGGAAGACCCCCTCATTTTCTGCTTACCCTCCGGTAATCAGTTACTTGGCGCGCTGGAAAATCCTCCATGGCCAGCTGTGCGATTTTTCAGCCGGCGATGACATTGAAGGGTTTACCTTCACACTGCAACACCTGGAGGAGAAGATTGCGAGCCTGGCCAGCCCAGATGAGGCACAGGCATATCCACTCTGCCAACGACTGATGAAGGATGGCACCGCTTTGGAGGATACCCAGGAGAAGAGGGTGAGCTTGGGGTCAGAAATGGAGAACCCCCGAACAAAAAGCATGGTGTGATCATTTGACATCTGGTTTTGATGGTTTTACGTGGCTTTTATCACGAAAGCTAGCGTCAGCTAGCTGGAGTCTTCTTGCTTTAGCAAGTATTCCGGGGGCTGCTCAAGGACATCACGTGATTTTTCACGCAAAAGGAGGGGACCCCCCCCCCTCCCCCCCCCACCACCCCCACCACCACCATCACCACCATCATCATCATCATCATCGTCATCATCATCGTCATCATCATCGTCATCATCATCATCATCATCATCATCATCATCATCATCATTGTCATCGTCCTCATCATCATCATCATCATCATCATCATCATCATCATCATCATCGTCATCGTCATCGTCCTTGTCCTCGTCATCGTCATCGTCATCCTCATCATCATCATCATCACCATCATCGTTAATCAATTACATTTTATCATTATTGGCAATTATTGGCATTATCACGAAAGCTAGCGTCAGCTCGCTAGAGTCTTCTTGCTTTAGCAAGTATTCCGGGGCTCCCCAAGGACATCACGTGCTTTTTCACGCGAAAGGGCCCCCCCTGCCCCCTCCCCCATATATATCATTGTTATATATCATATATCATATATCATTGTTGCATCCTCGTTGGGACGAACAATGCCGCGACACGATGATGACAGTCCCTCCGCAACTCACCTCTTCCCTTCCTTCTTTCTCCTACCCCGGTAGCTTTCGTCATCCACCCCCGGCCTCAAGTTTGGTGAGGAAAACTTGCTAGGCCTGCAATTTTGCGGCATGAGCTGATCTCCAAGTTGATTCTTTGAATTTCAACCCTCCCAGCAGCTACGAAAGCTAGCGTCAGCTAGCTGGAGTCTTCTTGCTTTAGCAAGTATTCCGGGGGCTGCTCAAGGACATCACGTGATTTTTCACGCGAAAGGGGGGGACCCCCCCCGCTCCCCCCCCCACCACCACCATCACCACCATCATCATCATCATCATCGTCATCATCATCGTCATCTTCATCATCATCATCATCATCGTCATCGTCATCGTCCTCGCCGTCGTCCTCGTCATCATCATCATCATCATCATCATCATCATCATCATCATCATCATCATCATCATCATCATCATCACCATCACCACCATCATCATCGTCATCATCATCGTCATCATCATCATCATTGTCATCGTCCTCGCCATCGTCCTCGTCATCGTCATCGTCATCATCATCATCATCATCATCATCATCATCGTCATCGTCCTTGTCCTCGTCATCGTCCTCGTCATCGTCATCCTCATCATCATCATCATCATCACCATCATCGTTAATCAATTACATTTTATCATTATTGGCAATTATTGGCATTATCACGAAAGCTAGCGTCAGCTCGCTAGAGTCTTCTTGCTTTAGCAAGTATTCCGGGGCTCCCCAAGGACATCACGTGCTTTTTCACGCGAAAGGGCCCCCCCCTGCCCCCTCCCCCATATATATCATTGTTATATATCATATATCATATATCATTGTTGCATCCTCGTTGGGACGAACAATGCCGCGACACGATGATGACAGTCCCTCCGCAACTCACCTCTTCCCTTCCTTCTTTCTCCTACCCCGCTAGCTTTCGTCATCCACCCCCGGCCTCAAGTTTGGTGAGGAAAACTTGCTAGGCCTGCAATTTTGCGGCATGAGTTGATCTCCAAGTTGATTCTTTGAATTTCAAGCAGCTACAAAAAAAATAGGAGTGTACAGCTGCAAAATCCCGCTACGAAAACTAAGTCTCAAGATCAACAAAGCTAGACAACATTATAAGGTTAATGTTATTATACATTTCTATAATACTATATGTTAATATAAGTATACACACATTATATGTTTTTCCTCGGGCACATTGATGCTACGTCAGCAGCGGCCAAGCAAACAAATTCAACTAACGTGTCCAATATACATATACATCATATATATATATATAAAATTGTATACATATATACATATTAAATATATACATGTAACACATACATATAATTTATATAAGTAATGTATGTATAGAATCTGTTGACAACCCTGGTTGGTTCCATTCCAGGACATGTCCAGCCTTGTCTCCGGTGAAGAATTGTCGCTGACGCTGCTGATCACCATGGATGGCCTGGTGGAGGCCTTACGAAGCCCGGAAGCCGAGAAGCAGGAGCTGGCCGCACCTTGGTCGAGATGGGAGGACCCCAGTGGTTGGTGGGTTGGTTGAAGAGATTTTGTCAAGGACACCATGATGAATTTTTCATGTAATGTTTTGACTCACAGAATATCGGGTGGGTCCTGCAATTGGTCCCTATCTAATTCAATTCTGGAAGTCCATGATGTGATATGATTCGTTTCTTTGATGTGGGGGTGAGGGTGGAAAAAAGGCACGACAGCCAGCATTCCTGAATCGGGGGCTGAAGATCCATAACTATAAGCCATGCTTACCTTTTGGTCAGTCTTTCATGGGTTTTATTTATTCTTCTGAAAGTGGGAACATCCTTGATGAAAGAAAGATCAAACACAAGACCCAAATGCATTGCTCAAAATGTAACACTTGCAAGTTGTGACGGCTATATCATCCTATAGTATGCAGCGTGCATTGATTTCTGTACCAAACTTCATTTGTCGCCCCAAGTTGTGTTTAATGACAACCGCCAGGTCGAGATTCTGCGAAACATTGGGACCTGCGATAGTCATGTGCTGGTGGCATTGGGTGTGTCTTGGTCGGGACCAGTGTGACCAAATCCATGCCAGTTCTGTGGTTGATGATGGGTTGATGATGTCATGCTGTAAGAATCTGGAAAAACAAAATCCACCTGTGACCCACATGTCATTTCCATCCCCAGTGTGCTTGTTTAGTTCAACGATGTTCAGCGAGTGCTAACACAGTCAAAGGCGAACACTGCCAGCGCGTTTGCTGATCGCTTTCTCAGCAGGTGGTCAGGTGTACTTCAAGTATTCTGAAACAACCCAAAAGAGGTACAAATTGAGAGGAGTCTGCAGGTACCGTCCGGTAAATCAAACATGGCAACTGAACATCTTGGAAAATCAGCCATGAACGGTGGATTTTCCATTGCCATCTTTGACTACCGGAGGATACCCAAGTTCAAGAAATATCACCAACCAACATGTCTAATTCCAAGGAAGTTTGCAAAAAATCTCTGAGATTTCCCCACATCTTGGTTGCCACCGAGGCCTTTCTGAAGACCGCAAAAGCCGCGCCCAAGGCACTGCCAGGGTTTGTGGCCGGGATGTAGGGCATGGGCATTGGACTGTTCGGCACGGAACAAAGATCTGAAAATACCCTAAAGATATCAGATGTTCGCCGTATTTTCCAAAGGTGTTCAAGTGGAAATGGATATAAATGGATAGAACTAGGCGTCCACAAGAAAATCAGTCGGCATAACAATGGATGCTCAGCTGCGCAGCTGGGAGCAGGCTACCAATGCCCATCTATACAGTTTAACCCCCAATTTTGGCTGAAATGGTTGGTTTCAACATTAAACCATCCCCAATCACAGGTTACAAAAATTGGTGTTGCCTCAGTATAAGCCCATATTTATGGCAGATAGTGGCGCCAGCCAGCACTTTTGGTGGTTGTCTCATTACATTCTGAGCATCAAGAGGAGCCTCAAAGGATCAACAAGTAGTTGGAGACAGGGAAAGTTGGGCAGTTTGAAGTTGAAGACATGATAACAAACCATGGCTTGGGGGGACTTAATTTTGCGACATACCTCTTTAGGAAGGATGTGGTGCCATTTTTGGCACGGTGTCAGTGGATTGTCAGTTCTCTATGTGAGTACACCCCAAATCAATACCATTCTATAGCTTGATTGCGAACACCACCAGCACACAGCAGTAGAAGCCGGTACATCCAATCATACAATATCGTCCACAGGCATTCTCTTTGAACCCTCAACAGCTGCACCTAGCAGATGTCATTCAGTAAAATCAAGCATGGCAAAGCACAACTCCAGCTTTTACTGTAAAGAAAAACATGTATACAGCATATCATGGCAGAAAAGCGTTGAATTTTCATTGTTTTTCCATGGTCAGGTGTGGTTTTGGCCAACCAACATTTTCGAAGCTTGTCTTATGACAGGTGCTGGCTGATGTGGCGTCAATCCTGGTCCAAATGTCGCAGTCTTCGCAGTCGTCGTTTGAGTCTTCGGAAGCCTTGGAGGGCGTGGCTGGGCAGCACGGCTGGTTGGGGTACCTGGAGGCTCGTTATGAGCCAGAATCCTAAGGAATCCTAAGTGGGAGTGTCCATAGATAAATCGTTGGTTTGTCATGGAAAATCCCAGTCTAAAATGGATGATAACTGGGGGTACCCCCATGGATTGAAAACCTCCAAGTGGAGAATTTTGAGAAATTCCAAGAGGCTATGAACCACGTGAGGCCATGTTATCCTCCGGTGTCATCATTGCCATGGCTAACTGCTGGGAAATCCCCCAACTCAATGGAGGTTTGATGTTCGATTGCCATGTTTGACTACTGGAGGGTAAACATATCACCCAATGATCATATGTGTTTATCCCAATAGATGTAGTATTGACATGCATTGACCACTTACTAATTGGATAATTGGGAAGCAACCCCGAAAAAAAAGAGAACCTCCAGAAGCCCACCGGGATCCAGCTATAGTCCATCCAATTCGGGCTTTGGTCTGATTCGGTACCCCACAATCTGAAGAAAGTCATGGCCAGATTGGGTTTCCGTATAGTTTCCCTTGAATTTCATGGCCACATGGGCTTCAGACACCTATTCAGTGCGGTTCAGTCCACACATTCCCAGCGGCGCCGCGCCTTCAGTCAGGTGCTACTTGGATCTTTGTCGCATCGGTCCTGGCAAATCCGGGAGGCGGCTGAAAATCTGACTGGTGCATTTTACGTAGGGAATGGATGGGTTGCTGGGGGTTGCTGGGATGATTCTTATTAGTTATTGTGGATCATTCCCAAAAATTCCCTACGTTTAGCACCAGTAAGTGAAGTGATGAAGGAATTCTTGCTCCATTGGTCCCATTTTCGTTCGCATTTTTCAGGCTGGGATTCAGGGCCTGATCAATATCCCTAGCACTCGGAAGGTGAAACGGTTCCTCGGCTTATCCCTTTTTGAGAGGGGATCCATGGGGAATCCAATGATTTTATGACCAAGAATGGCTGCAAAAGAATTGCCCAAGTCACCCATCTTGACCTGGCTGGTGGTTAAAAACACGTTGATTCTTCATGTCCCCAAAAGAAATGAATGCTTTCGACAGTTTTTTTCCAGTTGCCAGGTGTGATTACCAAAAAAGTACCTCAATTTCATATCTCAATCATCTCATATGTCCATTTTCTTGACATGTTCTTGGTGTCCCAACCAATTACATCAACTTTGCCGAAGAAAAACCGGCCTTTTTCCCAGGCCCTGACATCCCATTTGTTGGTCGACTGAGGTTGATCCAAAAGCTGAAGTCCAGGAATAAAAAGCCCATGGATGACGGGGAGGCTGGCTGCTCCTTGTCTGTTCACTGGATATCACTGGATTGAGATAGCCCCAAATCTCGGACATTGGCCCTATTTTTTTGTCTAACATAGCTGTGGAAGTGGATGAAAATGGCCCAGGAAGATGATGTTGGATGATTTACCTATTCAAAATGGGGATAGAACGGTAAACTAACTGATAAATGGTTCGTTGAATGGCCTAGGCTTGTTGTTTTTGCTAAGAAACAGACTGCTCGGCTGTGATCAAGCCATATTGGGCAAAGGGAATCCCTGGTGCCCTCTGTTTTCACTTGCAACGTTACCTCCAGATCACTGACTGGTGGAGTAGCATTATGGTCATTTAGTACGAGATTGTCACTGTTTGGGGATCATGACTGGTTGGTGGTTTGGAACATTTTTATTTTCCATTTCATATATGGGATAATCCCAACCCCATTGACTTTCATATTTTTCAGAGGGGTTCAAACCACCAACCAGATGATGATCAGCTGATGTTTGAAAATATCGTTGAAACAAATGTGCCAATTGACATATATTCTTACATCTCACCTCGATCCCCAGTGCCATGACTTTCTGTGGGTCAGAAATTTCAAGACTTTGAGCAAACTGCGAATGCGTGCGATTCTCTGTTTTAAAAGAAGGCAGTTTTGGGGGAACTGCTTCAATGAATCAAAGTCCGGTATATGATCATCATGATCAATGTTTTTTGGTCTTTAATTACGAAAAATGATGATACAACTTCCACAGTAGATAACCGTTTGAACGGTTGTTTGCAAGACTCGACGTTTTCCAAGCAGCCTCAGATAGGCTGGTGGGACGAGAAACCCAGTTAGTCAACAGGTCCCTTTTTGGTTCGCAACCAAAAGATCGTCCAGATTTCCCAGCGATCCAGCTGGGACAGGAGCTGAATCGAAATTTCAGTACTGATATGGCGGCTGTTGAGGCGCTGGGCGGTGTAGCGCCAGCTGGCCACTGGGTCGAGACGGGTGGGTTCAACCTGTTCAGCTGATGATTGGATATTACTTGGGCTCCAAGCTATGAGGGAACTGTGCGGAACTGTGGATAAGCCAGCATGAGCATCCCAAATGATCAAACTCCAAATTTTTCATACCCTGCTTCTTGTGCACTACTTGCAGATGAGGTTATAACTGGGTGTAACAATGGTTATACCATGTTATAACCCCTACAAGATTGGCACATATCCCCAAAAAAAGGCATTGTTAATTACCAACTTCGTTTGTGGAACTGCACACCCTGGAGTAGGCAGCTCATCAAGGCTAGGGGATTCTCCCCAAATAGCTTTCAGCTTGGTGAATGGCACACCTTGGAAATCTATGGTAACGGGAAGCTGGATGACAGAGCAACATCCAAAGCACTGGATGTTGGCAACACATGACAGAGGTTTTTCTGGGATTTCAGGGTGTGAACTGGGGATGTTCTTGACCCATTGGTAGCTTCAACCTGCCAAGAAAAGCGCCAGTTAGAACCTCCATCTGAGGAAAATGACTTCACGTCATTGGCAACGTCAAGTCGTTTGTTCGCCAGATTTCAGGGGTGTTCTTGTTGAGATTCATAGAGCATTTCCCCTTGTTTGAATATAATGCTATGATGATGATGATCATCATCATCATCTTCTTCTTCATCATCATCATAGATGATCATCATCATCAATATTAATGCAATATTACGAACAATAACAGATAATGAAAACCATTCTATCTTCAATGATGATAAACATTCCTAACATCAAAGAACTTGACCACAATCCTGTTTTTCGTAGCCGAGGCCACGAGGCCACCTTGGAGCTGTTCCTCCTCCTCTTGCAGCGTCAGGGCGAGTTCCGACAGGTGGACAAGAAGCTGCGGCGCCTCGGTAACGGGAAGCTGGGTATCTGACATGACATGATGACAACTAGGGTAACTGCCTGGTAACTATGGATGTTTTATGGTACTTGGAACATCTTAGAACTATAGTTGATGGGATTTATTTATGTCATTATAGTTCATTTTTTTTGATGATAGCTAAGTTGAGGCCCCCAAATGATAGCACATAACTTGGTTAACGTTTGGTTTTTTGGGGGATACAATTATATATTTGTTTGACAGGCTTGTAAAGCAACTCAGAACTGGGGGACCTCACCTTGATGTGGGATTTCATCTGCATTTCGCGGATTACCAACATATGTTGTTTCTGCGGATCCGACAATTTGTTCATGTAGAGAAAAACTGTGTTTGTTGACACACTCTGGTTGGTGGTTTGGAACATTTTTTATTTTCCATAATATGTGGGATAATCCCAACCCCATTGACTTTCATATTTTTCAGAGGGGTTGAAACCACCAACCAGCACTTGTTCTTGGGCTCTTTTGGACTTCATGTGACAGTGAGACGAGTAGCTTGGATAGTTTATGCATCAACATGGCTTGGATGCTTCGTGTGTTCCCCTGTCTTCCAGTTGATGACCATATTCTTCGGCTTGGGTATTCAACTACAAACCAGGGTGGATATTTACTCAAGAATTCTTGACGACTATCACGTATGTTTTTGCTGATGTCCTTCATTCTACTAATTCTACTATATGCTCCAATGTGGTTCATTTATATAACCAATTATTTTCGGTCACTCATCCCACTTTATTGGCTGAAATCACTTTAACCCCTAGGGTGTTTCTTGCTTCTGCCAGAGGTCTGTGACTGTTAGGGGGCATGTATAGTTTTCTTGGGGCCCACTTACTAGCCTGATCATTTGTAGTGCGATGAGAAAAAGAAACTCTCCGTTATTCACTTCGTTGGTTACTTCAGCCAACTATAATCCTTCCCAAGAAGATGATAAGGTGGAAGTTCGTAAATCCACTAGATTAAATCTTTTAAAGCAGAATGGCTATATCCCAGATATTCCCATATTATTGTTGGTTCATGTTGGTTCAAGTGGCTTGACAATATTATCAGATCCCCAAATGGACATTAAATGGTTCTTATTATTATTCTTCCGAAACTATTGTTGATCTATATCCCAATGGAATCCCAAGATGATTCCCCTTATTGTTGACATTCCCAATAGTCCTTATTATGATATCCCAATGGGAATATCCCAAATATTTTTATATTCCAAATATTAATAATATATATATATATATACTACATCCCAAAATATCGTTATATCCCAACTACTATTATATTATTATATCCCTTAAATATTCCCATATTATTGTTGGTTCATGTTATTATTTTCCATAATATATGGGATAATCCTACCCATTGACTTTCATATTTTTCAAGATGGTTATTGCACCACCAACCAGTTATTATATCCCAACTACTATTGTATTATTATATCCCAAATGTTATTATATTACTATATGCCAAATGTTATTATATATTATATCCCTTAAATATTTCCAGTATATAAGAAAAACTATATCCCTATACCATATTCCCAATGGACATCACCATATATATTGGGATCCCCAGAATCTATCATGAAATATAATCCCAAATATCTAAACTACATCCCAAATATCTCATATATTATTCGATCCCCCAGAATTCTTGACATCGCGTGACTCGCGTCGCCGAGGTGTTTAGAGATCCTCCTGAGTTCACTGGGACACTCGGCAGCCGAAGTTTTCCGCGGCCAGGGTTCTTTCGGCCCTAGGCTAGACAAACTATAGAAATCGTGAAATATCTATATGAAATATATAAATATAATTGAAACGTATTGAATATTATAGATATATATATATATATTAATTGACATCTAACTGTACACACATATATATATACATCTAGATATACGATTATATATGAAAAAAGTATGATTATTGAATACATATATATATGTGTGTGTGTATACAAGGGATTTGTCACTATTCATAGTTCATGGACCTGTCAGCCTGGAAAATCAGGGACTGCGGCCTGGATTTCCAGGACATTTCTGCTTCGAGAGCAACTCAAAAGAAGCCAAGATGGCAAGGGGTGCTTTGGCAGAGCCATGGGCTGGAGTCTTGAGTTTCATCTTGCCTGGGGTGGGGTGAATTAGGGGAAAATGATAACCATTGAATTAGGGGTGAATTAGGGGGAAATGATGAACCATTGAATTTGGGGTTTCCAACTTTATGAAAAATCCGAAGGCAAAACAGTGCTTCGAGCACACCTGGAGACATCACAGTGGTTCTGGCACTCTTTGTGGCACAGGTCCCAAAACACTAACAGCGAAAGAAACACAGCCTGAAGCCTTCAATTTCTGTGAAGGATGGATTCATCACCCCGCTGAGGTTTGGTGTTGCGCTTCTACTGCTACATGAGTCACCAAGCTTTGCATTGGTCAAAGAGTGGTCTAAGTCTTAAGTTCTTCATGAGGGAATCTGGTTGGTGGTTTGGAACATGTTTTATTTTTCCATTCACTTGGGAATGTCATCATCCCAACTGACGAACTCCATCATTTTTCTGGGGGGTGGCTCAACCACCAACCAGGAATAAGACTTGGTTATTTGGTTATATTTGGTTACTACCCTCTGGTAAACGTTTACATAGCTATGGAAAATCACCATGCTATCAATGGGTAAATCCACGGAAAAAAATAGGCCATTTTCCATAGCTATGCAACAAATTACCAGAGGGTATACCATCATATATCATATATCCTAATAAATCCCATGAAATCCCATGAAAATCCATGGATTTTCCCCATTGATAGTTGTTAGTCATTACCAGAGGGTTAGTCATTCCTCTTAGGATTTTCCTCAGGGGCTCAGCTTCGATCATCTGATGGGACCAGAAGATCCGACACAGCCTGGGCAGGTCACGAATTGCTCTTCCAAAGCGTTCATGAATCTTGGTACAACCGGCCTTGTGGATGCCGATATGCCATGATATGCCGATCTTGGTGCCAACTTGGTGGCTATAACCATGGTATTCATATGGCAACCCACCATGGTTTGTTTCTCCGAAAAGTCGCTGTGAAAAAAATGGCGTTAAAACCGCCACCCACCTTGGGGATGTTGCCGGCGATCTCACTCTGATCACGAGGGCTAACTAAGCTAGAAGAGCTTGGGGGATGACTCACCTTCATGTCAGTTCTGCGGGAATTGGGGGGCAGAAACTTGGAACCAACAACTTCAATCCACAGGATCGGATCCGATCCACTGATCCTCCTTTCGGAAGGCGCCACAGGGGTATCTACAGGCTGCAAACACATTTATATATATGATTGTGATGTGGTTAGATTAGGGTGGGTTGGGTTAGATTACATTCCTAGATAATTAGATATAGATTATTGGATGACATTCCTAGAGATGGGTTTGTGAATGCCATTCGCCGTTCAGAACCCCATGGGATTTCCCGCTTAGTTCGCGCCGAGAACTGGACGCCACGACAACGGCCCGACTGGAAAGCCATCATGGTGCCACTGGCCAAGCAGATGCTGCGCGGGGCGTCGTTATCACCTGAGGCCGACCTGGGAGAAGCTTGCGGCCGACTTGGGACGTGGGTGACCCCTCAACGATCCAATTTTTTGACCCAAAAATTCCAGGTCAGCTGAATCCAATTCTTACTTGTGCTTAGTAGAGAATGAGGGAATGATCCACACTAACTATCAATAATAATCCGATTCCCCCATTCCCATCCATTCCCTACTAAGCACCAGTAAGAATTCAGCTTTCTTTTCAAAGCCGACGTCAGGTGATGAGGGAGTTGCTAAAGGAGATGGTGAGCACCAGCTACTGCAGAGAATCTGGCTTTGTGGGCTACGGCTTCAGGACGGCGTTTTAGAAAGGGGGACGACTAAAAAAAGCCAATGGCTATGGCCGCTTGGAAATGGAACAAAAATCATTGCTTCAATGCTTCAATGCTGAATCATTGGGATTTGAATCGGAGTAATTGTATATTAAGATAATGATTTTTTGCTTAACGAAGTATCAATGATTTCAATATCAGATGTATTTGCTGCTAAGACAAGACCTTCGGCAGTTTGGGGAGATGTTGCAAAGCTGTGGACGACAAAATGAGTTTCTTGCACATCAGAAATATAATATACATATATATACATATATATAATTATATATATACATAATCCCAAATGTCTCATTTTGGGTGGGATATGATATATCACAGCGTGAGTTCCAAGATGCTGATGCATTTCATGCCCAACGCTGGTTGCCAACCCAACACGACTCCTCTGCTCAGTGCTCGCGGACGGTGGGGGGATGATCGGATTCAACAAACCATAACAAACCAGGAGCACTAGGGGCTGTGAAACAGAGGTGTTTCCAACCAGTACCAAGGGCTTTACCTCCAGAAAAACCATGCTTTGCCGAGCTGATTGGCTCACACAATCGGTTTCTCGGAATTCTAAGCAGAATGATGTATACCCTATGGTAATTCAACGTAGCTACGGGAAATCACCACTTTTTAGAGGTGAATCAGGTAAATCATCATTGTTTCCCATAACTATCTTAAATAACCAGATGGTAAACTGAGTAGCGTCAAGAGCAGGATGGGAAAAATCTCTCCCGTGGTTGATCAATATCATTCAAGATCGCTCTAGACACTAGAGACTAGTAACAAAAAAATCATGATCTAATGCCTGTTGACAACATGACGCTCCATTGTCCTCCCATTGTCATCAACGAAATTGGCACCTCAAGTGGCCAGGATTTATTATGTGAATGAGCACCTGTCACCTACAGCTGTGAGACTGGCATTGAGGGAGTTGATTGTCGCTTCCAGCAACGATGTGGCAGAGGCATATGCCAAGGGAGGTAGTGCCTCCCTTGATGCAGATACTGCATGAGACTCCAATGCTGTCTATATATTATGACATATTGTATGTATGTTTATGTATATGCGTGTGAAAAAATTAACAAATACAGGCGCGCATCCAAAACATCTGCATATGCACATCCCACTGATGTGGCAGCAGCTACTCTCGTGGCTAGACCCTAGACGAGATCGCCCCCAAGCCCAAGTTCTTGGTGAAAGTCATGTTGATACATGTTGGTTAAATCCCATAGCCATAGCTCTTGGATTCCCAGCTGTTCCAGTTAAAGCCGTCATGATTTTGGAACTTTGTAAGGTCCATGTTGTCGCTTCACTGACCAGGTGATGCCTTTGCTGTCACATCCCTACGATGCCATACGGGCCACTGCTGCCTACATCATCGTGCGACGAAATCAAGAGGTGTCAGGGCAGAAACGTTGTGAAACTGCCTTAGAGGTTCTGTTCTATTTAAATGTGTCTGAAAATGGGGTATGCCATTGGCGGAAAAGGGATACCAGGCTTCGGCCAAAGCCAATTGTGACCCATGGCGCTTGCTCAAACCTGTGGGTTTTAAGCCACACAGAAATGGACACACTGGAGGCGTTAGCCAACAAATCACAAATCACTGGGCCCCAGTATGACGACGTGACTAGCTGGCCATCGGGTTTGGGTAATGTATGCCAATGTATGCCAACTAGTGTTGTTGGTGGTTTCAAGTACTTTGTGGTGATTATTGCCCCCCTTTTAAGGTGAGAATCCGCAACGATTCATATACCTATAGGATCAGTGGCTCGGGGCAGGCAACCATGTTTGGATCAAATCGAAGACCCAAACCTGAGATGTTTGCTGCCTGCCTGCTTATCCAACGGTACGAAAAATCTGAGTTCAACCGCTTTCCGGTTTCACTTCCCGGCTGAGATGGTCCATGAAATGGGTGATCACATGTGACCACTGGCCTGGTGGTTTGAACCAGCGAGTGTTGGTTCCGGAAAACCCCATCTTTATGAGTGAGTCCATTGGCTACACCCTATGGGTATGTCAACTGTCTATTGGGTACCCAAAATTCCATAGATGTTTGATCGTCATGGTCGTGAAATGGAGTATCTGCCCATCCTAATCCCATCCAATGTTCAACACCCAGGAACCATGGCTTTTTTTGTGGATTTACACATCAAATCGGGCCAATATCGGGACCATCTGATGACGATTGATGACCTGGGCATCCCTGGGCCCTTCAGGGACTGGAAGATGTGCTAAGTGGCCTGCGTGGTCATGCATGTCAGGACGCAACGGAACCATGTTCGAGGGGTTCACCGGCTTCACCGGCTTCACCGGCTTAACACCTGGCATCGGAACCATTCTGCCAGACAACTCACCCCAGTTCAAGGTTTATGGCCTCATTTAATGATGCCAGATTTCTGGTAACTTTGAGATTTTTGGGATTCAAACTCAAAAACCATCCATGTGTACATTTTTTCCGGGGAATGCTGATCAATTCCCAGTTTGTTCCCATGATATTCCCATTGCGCTGACGGATGCTGAAGCCACAAAAAAAGTGGGTGATCGCAGCTTGAAGGAGATCTTGGAAGCCATGGCCGACGCCTTTGACACCATGCGTTTCGATGACGACAGCGACAACCTCGCGCCTGGTGAGAACGTCGCTGGGATGCCACTGGATGTCATCCTTGTTGTTGATAAAACAGGCTCCACAAGCCACAAAAAAAGATGCATTGATGACCCAGATAAATATCATATCATGGATAAAGGTTCTAAGTTCTATTATATCATATCATATCATATCATATCAATGCATTGATGACCTAGATATCATACAGTGTTGTCTACCTCAGTCGCGCGAATATATCTGGATTCCAAGGGATACAACGATGAGATACAAGCTGCGCTAAAGCTTGGCATGCCGGGACACTGGGATCAACGATGATAGGAAGATCAAGATCCATTTAGAATCATTGAGTCATAGAGTATCGTTGCATGAAAGGGAGGACAAGTGGGAAAAATATGGGTTCAAATCTCCATTTGCTTCAAGGATTTCCCACCCGCGTGCCGCGTGCCGATCTCCATAGGTCGTCACTGCCTTGCAACACTTCGCCGGGGACAGCGACGGTGAGTTTTGGCTCCGCCGCAGTGCCTTCAAGGCGCTGTGCGCGGCACAGATGGCCCCCAAGCAGATGATGAAAGCCTGGATTGCTGGCAATGCCATGGAGCCATGGAAATTGATGGATTTTTTCTGGCTTGGTGGGTGGGGTTGAAAATTTTGACAAAAATCAGAAGTTGATGTTTTATGATGTTTTTGTTGATATTGGAAAACTGAAAGCTATGGCAGCTATGAGTTTTTGCTGGGTGGTAGAATGATGGAAGGAAAGGAATAAATTTTCGTGAAAGGAACAACTGACCTACATCATTTCTGACCTCAAGTGCATGAGGAAGGCGGACCACAATTGTGACAAGAAAAAACCATCCAGTTGTGCAACAGATAATTTGACTACATGGAATGGAATCTTGTGCCTCGAGTGCCAAAAAAGGAATGATTTGGACGTCGCTCGTTTGTTGTTCTTGGAATCTGCAAGCACGATATGGAATCATGTGATATCATGTGAATCGTTGGTCCAGATATGGGTCAAATGATGGGAGTCCCTAAGATGGATTGAATGGATGATATGGCTGCAATCTGAACATGGCCGTGGGTCCATGGAGGTACACTCAAAGAACTTGACCGTTCAGTCTGTGGTACAGGGTGTTGATGTGACCTACAAATATATCGAAGGACATGAGATAAAACCATGGCTTTCTCTACTGACGCGCCCCAGTATTTTTTTCTACGGCTATTGCTTCTTTGGAGATCGTAGTGAGTTTTTACTCCATCTCCGGCCATATTTTGCGGAGTGTCAACCAGCATATGTTGGTTGACAGCCACAGTGTGAGTGAAAATTGGTACTTGCAGCTCCACAAGCCCCAGACAGGGTGATCTCCCGAAATGTCCCCAGGAAGCTGAAGCTGCCTTGACGGCCATTGATGCAGAAACCGGGCAGGAATTCTTGTGTCGCTTAGCGGAACGACTGGGGTGACTGGAGTGACTGGGGATCATTTGAGTGGTGACTGATGCTCTAAATAAGTGGGAAAAGGGTGGGTCATGAGCTGTTGATGGGTTGAAACCATTCAGAACAGCCAAAATTTTCTGGGGACCTATATAATGGGGTTCAGATGTGGCAATCCAGAGCCAGGGAGCCACAGATGTTTGTCACTTTTGATACCGGATTTCAATCCAATAATCCATAGCCTGCCATAGCCATACGGTATAATTCGGTATAATGTTGAATGTTTCAGAGATGTTCAGTCTCGAGATATCAGTCTTCTGCATTCCGTCGAAGCCTGGGCGTCACTTGAGTAGCTAAGCCAACCCGGTTTTGTGTCTGTTAGCCTCGTTAGATCTGCTGCCCAGTTCAGGTACCTTTCTGGAAACAGAAACATCAAATGGCCACTGTTTTCGAATTCAACCTTTGCCCAGCGAATGGGAAAAGCCTTGAGAGATGTTCAGTGGGGTGCTTCCCGATGAGGATTGAAACCAGCCCTTAATCTGAACCAGTACATGGGTTGGTCTTGTTACGAGTCCTTCATTTGGCTGGATGTCAGTTGTTTCAGTTCTACCATGCGGGACCAAACCAAGGTTGAAAAAAAAGATTAAAAAGAAGAACAAACCCTGTGTGGGTTCTGGCCATCAAATCACTGGGAAAACAGGGCACAAGTGTGATACATCATTACAAATCAGGTGATTTTGGGTATAGACACTATAAATCACAATGATCATATGACACAGTATGCATCAACATGCAATAATAGCATATAATAGCCATTGTATCCCATTGTTCCCTGGGACACGAAGCCTTGTTTCCCCCCAAGGCCAAGCATTGGAACATTGGGATGCGGAAATTCGTCGCCTTTCGCTGGTGAAGTTGTCAGTCTTCCACCAGTTGCACCAGTCGCCTGGCAGAGGTGTTGCCAAAAATGATGACAATTTGGGGGCTGGAATCTGTATCTGGTGGGTGCTTTGGAACCATGGAATTTTATGATTTCCCATATATTGGGAATGTCATCATCCCAACTGACTTTCATATTTTTCAGAGGGGTTGAAACCACCAACCAGGTATGTTTCCGAGTTCTTGTGTGGAAATGATCACTTGAAATGGTGAAATTTCGTGTTTGTGCCACATCAAAAAACCATCTCGAAGCTTGGTCGGATGTCTTGATGGAGCTGGAAGTTGCGGGTGATCCTGCCGCAGTGACCATTTGACATCTTCTAGCGGTTGTCAGATGCCGCCGGAACGGCAGGTTGTCGTTCGAAAAACTGTGACTATTTGGCTCAGGTGCGTCCACTGTTTGGCCATTGATAGCGACAGAAAACAAGATCGGAAAACCAACTACCTCCAGCTGGTGCCGCCAAACGCCCGACTGAATGGAGGTGCCATGAAATTGATGGCTTCAATTGGGTACAGTTTACTACAACTTATTCCAGAAAAGATCTCCAAGGCGCTTTGAATCTTTTTTTGGCCACCGAGATCTTGCAAACTTTGTTGGGGTTTCAAAGGTCTGCGGTTTTCCATACTCATGTTGGGAGGACATGGTCCTTCACTGAGATTCACGACCCAATACGTTTCAGGGGCGGCAAACCACCAACAAAGGTGAATCGTCCTACCAGATCTGCCAAAATCTCGGGTTACCAAATATCAAATGGTTGTTGACTCTTAAACCCACATTTGTTTTTTTTTGCCATTCGTTCCAAGTGCCATCAGCCATGCCATGCCCAAGACCCCGCGACCCCGCCGCTGCCAAGTGTTCCACGCTGGCAGGTGACACTACGGTCAAAGCTATTGAGAAGTTGCTGGAGAATCCGGATGAGAAGCGTGAGGTGCATGTTGGAAATTATGGTGAGATTATGTCGTCATCGTGGAGTAGATAAAATGGCTATTTATGTGTGTAAACATCCATATTCTACCTACTTCAGGACGATATTATATGGATGAGTTATGGTTGATGATTGTTTGTTTTTTTCTGACCTTTACTTATGATTGATTATTGTGCATACTTGACTTGATGATGTTGATGTTGGTGTTGGTGTTCATGATCGCGATCGCGATCACGATCATGATGATGGTGATGGTGATGATGATGATGATGGTGATGATTATGGTGATGATTGATACTGATGATGATGATGATGATGATGATGATGATGATGATGGGAATGTTGGGAATGTTGGTTTCGCTGCAATATAGTTATGATATGTTATCATATGTTATGATATGTTTTGATGAATAATTTGGCATGAATATAACAGGGCGGTAGAGCGAACAACATGATACTTGTGTTTGTCTCAACATGCTGTTCCCCCTTTTCATGCCATTTGCAGTTTCTGAACCATGGGATTGAATGGTGTTCTGCATTTTGAGACATCCATTGGAAGCCGAACAAAAGTGGGAAAATGGTCGCAGCTGATCAGGGATTGGCAAATAGCATGATATGATATAATATGTATGTAATTATATACATATAGTCACATGAGAGAATTTTCAACAAAGAGAAGGAGGGCGGAAGGAAGCTGGAAGATGGAGACCAACAAGGAGAAATCCAGATGGGGGTAGGTCTATGCCCCATTCCATATTTTTTGGGGGGATCAACATCAATCTCATTCGATTGGGATTTCTGAGGTTTTCACAAAAAGGGATGGGATTTCTGGGGTTCCCATGGCAGGTGTTGATGAGCTGCATGGGTATCCTGGCGGGTTTGGCGCGTGCATTGCATCAAAGAGCTATCGAGGTGGAGATGTCGGGGGCTGCGACCTGGGCGGGAGGCCATGGATTGCCATGGCATGCCATGGATGAAAATGGAGGAATCAACGATGTTCTGTTGCAGGGTACATAAGATGTGCCATGAAATCTAGGTGGAGAAGCATGGAGATTTGTGGTTTCTGATGGTTTCTGATGGTTTCTGCAGTCGTAGGGGGATCCGGTTCTATCATCCAAGATCCAAATGAGTGCATTCCATCTGAGAGTTGACAGGCGAAGATGCTTTCACAAGGAAATGAGCCGCTGTATTTTGGTGGGTTTTTGACAACCCCAAAGAGCATATTGTTGGTTCCCAGGTGGCTCTAGCAGTTTGGACAATTTTGCAGGCTCGGTTTCAGCGGTTGGGTCCAGTCTCAGTCATCAAATAGAGGCATGTAGTACCCCAAAATCATTCATGATAAGTTTTTTTTCATCCCAGCCAAAGTTGCACAAAATCACATGTATCTCAAGCCAAAATGGCGCAACTTTGTTGAGGCGTAAAAAAATCGACTCGCCGTGACCAACTGGGACCCCAGGTGCTTCACCAACTGACGGAAGCCAAACGCAGATATCCGCAGTCAATGGCTGTTGCCATCCTGTACGACTTGAAGGTGGGAACCTGGACGCGAAAGCCAGTTTCGTAGTTTCGAGGGGTTGGAGAAAGTAAACGGTCTAAAGGTGATGTAGTTTGTATTGTTTGGTTAGATGGTTAGATTATATATCATATTATTGATCTAAAGATATCTAAAGTATGTTTGGTTAGTGATCCAAATGATTACCATATTGTTTGGTTAGATCATCATATGTAACATGATCTAACCACTTAGAACCGATTGCAAAAAAGTAATGTTTGATGATCGGGTTCAACCACCCCTACTAGCAATGATCACATGTGAAAAAAAAATAAACTAAGTTCATCAGCAAAGTCTGAAATGATGTACGAAATGTGGGATTGCGAAGACCAAATGCTGGAGTATATCCTGGGATAATATATATACATATATATATATATGTAGATTTTGTTTATTGACATGTGTGTGTGTATACACATGTCATATTATATGCCAGAGCTTTGTGATTTCAAACGTCTTGAAATTCTCCGTTGGGATATGGCACAGAGGTAGCAGTTGTACAGACCATCCACCTTTGAGACAGGAATTCCTGCGCGTGCCCTCCAACTGAAATATAAGTTTGCCTCAATGAGGATGCCCCGTTGATGGCAATTCTGATGGCAATTTTTCATCGGGAAATCAATGGGAAATCAATGGTCCAATTTGGTACCTTATGAGGCACTCGAAAATGGTTGAAGTCTTCTTAGTTCCATGAACACTGCATGGTTTCTACATGGCACGCGCCGACTGGTAAGCAGGAACCCTACCGGAAGCGGCTCCCACCCAAGTACCTTGTCAGCACAGGGCAAAGTGCTGATTTTAGGGGGGAAGCGGCCTCCCATTATATCCCAATTCGTTTTCCCACTCTCAGAGAAGTGATGTTGTCTATGTCTACATGTTGGAGAGCAGCTACCAGTTTTAATCCCAAACTTCATGGAGCAGCTAGTGTTTATATGTGTTTATACAACCGTGTGTTCCCAACTGTAAATGCATGGGCTCCTAAGCTCTGGCTCCGTTACCTCCAATTTTTATTGTTGGAATCATCCTTGTCTTGGTGATGCCACTCATCACTGATGAGGTGTTATGAACTTTGCGTTTGACATCATTGAAATAGACCCCGGTGAACATCAGTCAACATCATAATTGCCCTCTCCGAAATTCAGATACAGTAGATATGGAAAACCCATGCTTGGAGTCTCACTTGTTGGGGAAAATACTCGACGAATTTAGCTCTTAATGTTGTTAGTATATGATATGTGGTCATCCTTTGACCACCTATAACTGGTAACATCTGGTAACCATTGTAAACTGTGGCAAATCATCCTATCACCTTTAATAAGCATCAATTATTATAACCAGAAGACCAATGATGAAGACCAAGAACTCTTTGATCATTTCAGACTGGTGGTTTTAAGGTTAAGTTTGGAATGATTGATAGTATGTGTGAATTGAGATGATTCTGTATACAGTACATGATAGCGTCTCAATCTTGGTATGATTGAATGAATATAGTTGACTATGAATAACTATTAATGTGAGATTAACATGTGGGATGGTTCATCAATAGTTGTCTTGGTACATCTTAATAGTTAATCTAGTATCCCACTATTGACAATGATAATTTCACTTGTTATATCTTAATCATCCTCATATTCCCACATATCTCAATCCATTATCCTTGTTAATATTGGGATGCTTGTCTGATAATATGCCCCCCAAAAAAATATATATATATATATACATATGTTTTATTGTATCATTTTTTATCGTCATATGATCTCCATATCCCCATTGCCCTTTTGGGGGTAGACCTACCGGTAGCTTGCTGTGGCTGTGGGAAAATCCCCCAGCCGGGGATGATTTTCCCGGCGATGAGAACCCTCCGCTTTGAGTTCCGCTGGTTTCCGCGCGGCCCGCCACATTTGATGGATGACACCAGAGGGGAAATCTGGTTGGTGGTTTGGAACATGAATTTTATTTTCCCCAATAGTTGGGATGATGATCCAATCTGACGAACTCATATTTTTCAGGGGGTTGAAACCACCAACTATTGGTAATTTATTTGTATCCCATGATTGTCCTGATATCCTGTTATCGTCCCATTCATACCCCATTTTCCATGGCTACGTTAAATAACCAGAGGGTATATATATATTATGCACGTGATCTCGTTGGGGAAGGGTTGCAAAAAAAAAACACAGTTTGGAAGATGATTTATCCCAGTATGAACGCATTATAAACCCATTATTTATAGTGGTTCATAGGAATCCCAATAGTCACCAACTGGTGCAGGATGGCTTCTCCATCCACAGTATCCCAATATGATCCCCATATTCGTAAGATACCCCAATTACCCCATTTATAGTCCAATTTATAATCCTATCTTGAAAAAAACATTACACCACATATGCAATTCAATCCATTAAAAAAAAAACACATTACACCATGATCTTCTTGATGGTCATCATCCTCTAGTAAAATTAGGATCTTCTAATGTAGGATCCCATTAGATATCCTATTATATGATGATCCCTATCTTGCTGGGAAAATCTGATGCCCGGAGCCGAGGCAATGGAGATCCTCTGGGTTGAAAGCCTTGGAGGACCGGAGCCATCGATGGGCCGATCCCGGCTTCTATGACAGAAACGAAGGGATAGATTGGTAGACACAAAATGCTGCAAAATGATGAAGAAAGTCAACAAAATGGTGAAAAAAACGTGTTTTAACTCATCGAAAATCATGATAAAACCGGGTTTGTTGGGGAACAAGATTTTCGGACACACACAAATAGAAGCAAGAAGCAATCCTGGTTTGATTGCCTAATATTTTGTTTTTGAGTCATGGGTGACCTAAAAATAATCCATGTGATCTGTGTTTTTTTTAATGATGAAACCAATGGTCAAGAAGGGAGCCAAGATTTTAAGAAACAGCCATTTAATCGGATGGCTTAAGGGCGCCCTTGAAAAGGTTTGCCCTCTCACACGTGTGCCCGGCGTTTTCCATACCTCCTTGGAAGGATGTGTCCTCGCCGGGCAGCGTCCTTCTTTATATTTCTTTATTTTAATCAAGTTGCATCTGCAATTGTTTGTCTAAGACAAACCATTCTACAGGATGTCTTCATATTCCTCGTGTGAAAGGTGTGGATTTAGGATACGGGTCATCTTTTTTGGGCGTGGACCGGAGATCAAAGAGGATTGGTGACTGAAAGCCCTTCCCAAAACATACGGATCTTGGTCCTTCGTTGATTCTTGTGGTATACCATTGGCTGATGGAGCCATCCAAAGCACTGCATGGCTTGACAGGGTCATTGGATAACTTCCCTGTGATCATATAGATATGGTTTAAAGCATCTTAAAACATCGTAAAACATTTAAAACCAAGACCGAGGAATTTGATGACATTTCATCGTAACATGTAGTAACATCATGTTGGATGGTTTTGTTTCAGTTGATCAAGACGTTTTCAACACGAGTTGTGGCTCCCAGGGGTACCTATAAATGCCCTGGATCCACTGCTTGAGAACGGCTCCAAGGGATCCGTTGTTGCATCCAGCATGGTCGGAGCGACGATTCGAGGAAAACTGGAAGTAGTTTTTGAGGGGTGTCACTAGGTCTGTTTCGGTATTGACCGAAGCTGGAAACTGATGAAATTCAGTGTTTCTCTTTGATGGTTTTAATGGTTTTCACTGTTTCTTCCAATAAAATTAGCAGGTTTTCACTGTTTCTTCTAGTAAAATTAGCATAAAATTAGCTACATTCCTTGCCGAGGTTTTGGAGTTTAGAAGCACCTCCTGCGTTTCTTCATCCCTGACACAATCCTTCGGACATCGGGTCATTCTCTGGATAGCATTCTCGCTGAACACCATGCCACATCCTACAGATGTACCTTACGATCGTGGATCCCGGAACAGTCTGAAATCCTTTGATAGAACAGCGCTTTTGTTTTTTTCGCAGCCCCGATTTTTTCAAGGGTAAAATCACCCAAACAAAACTAACAATCTCAAAAAGAATGGATTTAAGCAGATCACATTTAAAGAGAACTTGAATTAATAACCACATTATAGTTCATATAGTTGAATTGATTTAATGTTTGGGATATTGATTAGTTAATCAGTTAATTTTTTATAAAAAAAAGTCAGTCAGAATATTTATATATTTCAGATAGGATTTTTCCAACACCTCTGGAAATCAGAAATCTGGAGAAAACTCCACAGCTCCCAGGGCTCCAAAGCCCGCGGCCAGGTCGATCTAACCGGCTCTTCTTATGTCAAGCAGTGCCAGGATGTATCGCTTGGTCCACGGCGTTTCGGCAGGATGATGTTTCCGGGGGGGACGCGACACGGGTCGGTGGGAAAGATGGGGATGTGGCAAAAAAAAATCGTTGAAAACCTATATGAATATCTAAGAATCATATGAATATCTAAGAATATCTATATATATATAATTATATATATATGATTATTAGATGTGATTAGCAACATCAAGATGTGTTGCTTTCTGTGATTTGAAACATTCAACAATGAGGTTTAAAAATGAGGTTTTGCCCAGCAAAGATTATGCTTTTACACAAGGAAAAATTGAGGTTTTACCCACGAAGAAGTTTTGGAGGGTGATGGTCATGTGTTGATCAGTTTGAATATGAACGGAACCAGTTTTGGGGTACACAATTTTGGTCCAAACAAAGGTCAGATAAAGCATTGAAATCATACTGTAGATCTGAAAAGCATTCAAAGAAGCCAGAAACAACAGGAGGAAATTGAGGGTTTCAAGACCTGTGTTGCAGCGGTTTGCCGCAATGTCTAAAAATTGTGAGTCTTTAGAGGTGCCAATTTCTTGTAACCGGAGGAAGGAATCCCGCAGTTGCCTGACAAAACACACAGCACAGCAGTTGTTGCGTCACCTGGCACCCTCTGGCAATCAAACATAGTGGAAAACCGGATTTGAATCAGAAAATCGTGTATGAATCGATAGGGTCCATATGCTCGGTGGTTACCGGTGGTTCTGGTCTCGGATCCGTCACTGGGATGATGGAAGTTGGCCATCACAATTTATTGGTTGCTGATTTATGAGAAAGGTTTTAGTGTGGGTAAAACAATTTCATAAACCATTCCCCAGTCATCACCATTTTGATTAAGGTGGTATAAACTTACACCATTCCCACATGGGTGGCTTATTATGGCC